CAGCTCTGGTGCTGAAATTCAGGCAAAAGTTTGAAGACTTCTCATTTACACGCAGCTGCGTAATGAAGCTGAAATGAATTTCCTGTAGTAAGGGTTTACATTTGTGGATTTTGCCATATTTCATTTTGATTGTTATTTGATACTTGCATTTGAAACATGTCCCTAAATTTTCCCACTTTGCTTTCAGGGCTCAATAAATATCCTCGTCTCTATACCTGCTTTCCTGATGAATTAGGCAGACACGTTTCGTGTAATGATACCATCGTATACATTGCTTTGAGTTTCGTGTTGCATTAAACGAGACAAATTCAGTTTGCACACTACGTCTTGATATACACTATTTCCAATTATCGACCACTGAGTTTGAAACTCGATTTGACGAAAAACCAACAACATTTTATACCATACACATTTTATTCAATTATAAAAGCAAATGCAAGTAACATATTTTAGGAAGTACACATGTAAAGGCAATTTTACATTTTCTTGCTCATGAATACCGTCTTATATTTGCCTTAGCTTATGTCTAGATTAAACATGAATACAATTCTTTATCTGCATATAGATTCACTGAATGACACAATTGAAAATAACATCATCCCGCATGTCAAGTAAATATTAAGTACAAGGACACCAAAGTTGCCGATATCATCCCACCCTTTTAAATACTAAATTTAAATCAATCCAATCTATGTGTGGTTAGTCCTGAAGCTTGGGTTTGTTGTTAAAAGCCACATTCAACAATATTCCAACTATATGATGGCAGTCTGAAAATAAGCAAGACCAGACAATACAGTGATTGACATCATGAGAATCGATCCACGCAATTGGGATACCCAGAACATGCATCAACCAAGTCAGCTGGCTTGACGACACGATCCCGTTAATCGCCTCATTTAAAGGTTGCTGAAGAACAACTCTAACCTAGATCTGTATGGGTCGTGAAGCTTGTGAGTACAGCTGACATCATATGAACCATGGCAGAAGCTATTCTTCATGCTCAAGCACATGATTGTATACAATGTATGACACTTGGAGGACTGGAACAAAATAAGATACTGTTAATAATCCCCCAGAACATATTATTATGACACCAAGTGTTGCAAGTGAAATATGTTTCAAAACACATGTTCATGTCGCAATGACGGAATAGTCAGCTCCTGTGCGAGGACCAGTGATCCGAATTGGTGAATTCCTTGACCACGCCACTTGACCACGGCACTCGCGGAACAGTTGCTTGCAATGTTGTGCCCTGGTGGAAACCAGTTTTGGGATCTCAAGTGAATTCAATCAGGCATGCCTGTAGGCCTGCAGGATTGTTGCTCTCAACCATAACGACATGGTGTTCTTGTGAGGTGAGGTGAGGTCTTCTTGTGAGGTGAGGTGAGGTGAGGTGAGGTGAGGTGAGGTGAGGTGAGGTGAGGTGTGGTGAGGTGAAACGGGGTTTGAGTATTGTACTTACATAGATACATGCACGCATGTGTGTGCGTGTGTGTGCTTATACATGTGCTTCTGTGTGGGGACCTGTACTAGTCCTGACTTTCACATTTTTGCATCTTTCTTGGTATGGCATGGCCGGGCGATGCAACAACCACCAACCTTACACTCTCCAGGCAGATGCTCTAACCACTAGACCATGGAGGCGGCCTGCATATTGTTGGATGACCTTTTTAGCAACGTATTCTTTTTGTTAGAACAACTTGTCTTGAAAATGCCAAAAAATATAAATTTCATAAATTCATCAATTGCAAAAGGCAACAGTTTATATATTGCGCATTTTGTGAAGAAATAGTAAACCGTTTATGTGTAATGCTCCAGAAATGAAACGTGATGGACAGACGAAACCTGTTTCTATATCCCCGGTAAATATTTTGTTTGTTTAGACAGGGAATCCTAAAAACGAATTGATTCAATTCGAAAATGTAGAAGTTGGACATTGTATGTACTTACATATCAGGATAATTTCCACCGCTATGTACTGTCCATGACCACCATGGGCCTTTACAGAGACCATTTCCTTTATGTCCTTCAGTGTACCATATGTCAGAAAGAAGAATGTTGAAATGGTTGTCACAGTACGGGCAATAGAATATACAGTCAAGGAAACAAACAAGTAGTATGGTATGGTATGGTATGGTATGGTATGGTATGGTATGGTATGGTATGGTATACAGAAGAAGACTGACTTTTTCGAAAGATTCGAAGCTAAAACATCATCCAATGCAGAAAAACAAAAATGTAAAAAACACAAGAAAAAAACATAAACAGCGCCACGGCACTGTAGCTCACCTAGGGGTCTTTTGAAGTACCATGAGGGACTTCCCAAGCAGCATGAGGGACTTCCCAAGTAACACGAGGAACTTCCCAAGCAACATGAGGGACTTCCCAAGTAACACGAGGGACTTCCCAAGCAACATGAGGGACTTCCCAAGTAACGTGACGGACTTCCCTATGTACTATGAGGGACTTACCAAGTAGCATGTGTCTTCCCTAGATAATGAGGGACTACCCTAGTAACATCAGGGACTTCCCTAGTAACATGAGTGACTTCCCAAGTAACATCAGGGACTTCCCTGGTACTATGAGGGGATGCTGTGGGTCTTCCCTAGTAACACAAGGGATTTCCCTTGTACTATGAGGGGACTTCCGAAGTAACATGAGGGACTTCCCTAGTAGCATGAGTGACTTCCAAAGTAACATCAGGGACTTCCCTAGTCATATCAGGGACTTCCCGAGTAAAATGAGGGACTTCCAAGGCAACATGAGGGACTTACCAAGTAGCCTGTGGGTCTTCCATAGTGACATGAGGGACTTTCCTATAACCACGAGGGTCTTCCTTATTAACACGAGGGTCTTCCCTGGTAACCTGAGGGACTTTCCCAGTAACAAGGACAACTCTTTGATGTTAATATGTGATTGTACATTGGAAAAGTAACAGGATTGACTCAGTTGTAACAGCATACACATGTAAACAAAAATGCAAATCATGTTTAATAATTTTCTGCTGAACCCTCACTTCCTCACCGCCCCTCCAAAACAAATAGTTTGGGTTAAACAAATAAACCTTCTTTGGTCCAGTGGTTTTGGAAAAAATATATTTACAGATGCCACCGATGCCGGACAACTTGACCATGAGCTAACTCACTTGACTTTCAGTTAGGTGAGCTAACAAACTGATTAGTTTGAGAAAAAGTATGTCATATTCATCCAATGAAATATATACATCTCAGCAAATTAAAATTTAAAAAAATGCAAACAAATATACAATCAATTATACATTGGCTTCAATGCACCTGCAAGGGGCAATCTGTATGATTTAGGATGCTGTAGTGAGCTTGTACAGTACTAGTTATATCCTTGACAGTCTGTATCATGTTATATGTAGGGTAATGGCAAGACATCGGTTGTTTAAAACACTATCGCAATATATTTAGGGACTTTTCACAGTATATGAATACGTTTCTCGATAAACACATTTTTCTCTGAAATACAAATAAAACAAAAATCAGTAAACGATAACAATAACCTCAGTCTGAAATTTACCATTTAAACGATTTACCACAGCGGAAGCTTACATAATGCTCTCTAGAATGTTCAAAATATGTATGTCAGTTCATGTTGGACAAAATGAAACACATGCTTGTATTACAAAGTTTAGGGACACCAAACAGCCCATTTTGCTACACCTCTTGTCTTCACTAACACCAAAGATGTTACATAATGTTGTCATGCTAGAATATATCTAACATTCTGTTTTGAAATGCCTATATGAATATATAGCTCTGCATTGAAAGCACAGTATATTTACCACCAAAATATTGTTTCAAGCACCAAACTGACTCACTCTAGAGGTGTCTTATATTTTCTTGTTTGGTATCAAAGTCTGTATTCAGAAAGCCTGCAGTGTACAACACAGTGGAAACATATACAGCAATGAGATGAACATAACATGAAACCAGGTGCCGACATTGATTGATCCCAGTTGTATTGAACCCAATATAAGAATCAAACCCCCCATAAGATATATTAAAATGTACATAAGAAAGAAAGCATGCAGTGTACAACACAGTGGAAACATATACAGCAATGAGATGAACATAACATGAAACCAGGTGCTGACATTGCTTGATCCCAGTTGTATTGAACCCAACATAAGAATCAAACCCCCCATAAGATATATTAAAATGTACATAAGAAAGAAAGCATGACATGAAATGTACATAAAAAATACTAGCTTCAACTACAAGAATGAGTGAGTATGGTTTGGCACCATTTCAGCAATATTACAGTACTATCACGACAGGGGACACCAGAAATTTGTTTCACATATTGTACCCATGTGGGGAATTGTACCTGGTCCCTGGCGTGACAATCTGTTATAACCTAGCCTGCCCCACTAACCTTAAGGGTGAAAGTCCATATTTACATTTAAAATAGAACCAACTACGTGTAGTCAAAATATATTTCTTTTGATGGAGTCTAAACTTAAATGTACTCAAATATAGGCATCTGTGGTTTCTGACCAATATAGTTCTGACCATTTTTTTCTAAATTGTCTTAACATATAATACAATAAACTTAAAACAAACATATTAAAATTATACAAATTGTTTTAAAATAACTGATATTTCTGGATTTGTCTTCTTAAAGATTTCATGTTATTTCAATCAATTGAATGGAACTTATCATTCAATTGCGTCAGGCTTGTCAGAAGATGCGGGTTGAGGACAGGATTCTTCTACTGCATCAGCCCAATGGTGTGCTGTTGTGGACGTTGCACTTGCAGTTTCTGGCTTCTCAGTAGACGATGGTTTGGGACTGGATTCGTCTTTTGCCTCATTAAGGTGGTGTGGTCTTTCTGACATTTCATTCGAAGTATCTGGCTTCTGAGTAAACGATGTTTGACGACTGGATTTGTCTTCTGTAGCAGTCAAGTAGTATGGTGTTGCTGACGTTCCACTCGCAGTATCTGACTTTTCAGTAGATGAGGGTCGATGACTCTATTCGTCTTCTGTATCAGTCAGGTAGTATGGTCCTGCTGACGTTCCCGTCGGAGTATCTGGCTTCTCATAAGAGGATGGATGGGGACTGGATTCGTCTCCTGCATCAGCCAGGTAGTGTGGCGTTGACGATGCCGTCCGCTCCTCAGCAAGTGATGGTTGGGGACTGCATTCATCTCCTGTATCAGTAAGGTGATGTGGTGTTGTTGAAGTTGCACTCGCAGTATATGGCTTCTCACTAGATGATGTAGCAGTCAAATAGTATGGTGTTGCTGACGCTGCACTCGCACTATCTGGGGTCTTGCTAGATGAGTTTTGAGGACTTGTTTTGTCTTCTGTAGCGGTCAGGTAGTATGGTGTTGCTGATGTTGCACTCGCAGTATCTGGCGTCATGCTAGATGAGAGTTGAGGACTGGTTTTGTCTTCTGTAGCAGTCAGGTAGTATGGTGTTGCTGATGTTGCACCCGGAGTATCTGGCTTCTTGCTAGATGAGGGTTGAGGACTGGTTTTGGCTTCTGTAGCAGTCAGGTAGTATGGTGTTGCTGATGTTGCACTCGCACTATCTGGGGTCTGGCTAGATGAGTTTTGAGGACTTGTTTTGTCTTCTGTAGCGGTCAGGTAGTATGGTGTTGCTGATGTTGCACCCGGAGTATCTGGCGTCATGCTAGATGAGAGTTGAGAACTTGTTTTGTCTTCTGTAGCAGTCAGGTAGTATGGTGTCGCTGATGTTGCACCCGGAGTATCTGGCTTCTTGCTAGATGAGGGTTGAGGACTGGTTTTGGCTTCTGTAGCAGTCAGGTAGTATGGTGTTGTTGATGTTGCACCCGGAGTATCTGGCTTCTTGCTAGATGAGGGTTGAGGACTGGTTTTGTCCTCTGTAGCAGTCAGGTAGGATGGTGTTGCCGATGTCACACTTGCTGGTTGTTGGTTCCCTGGTTGGGGATGAAGGGCAATGATGGCTTGGCCCACCACTTCATAATCATCATCAGAACTACTGGAATTGGAAGCTCGTCTTGGACCTGGAAGGTTGCCTTGTACCTCAGAGTCATCTATATCCGCGTAGACATGGTAACCGTCATACCATACTTTTCCTGCTGACGCTAATGCATCTCGTATAGGGGAGAGGTAGGAGGAGACAGTCCTGATGACAAAGAGGCATTTTGATGTTCATGCTACACGTATGTTAATAACAAAATATAAGTAGTTATCGTTTGCATAAATGTGACCTGAGGAATGTTGATGCATTGGATATGAAACAAAAAAGTCAAATGCTACAACTTTTGATGTTGCATGTTAGCCATCTTCAACGTGTATAGCTCAGTTGCAGTAGTAAGGAGACTCACTGTGTTATTTGACAAAGTTACATCTTGATAACATTCAGTAATTTCTTTTCATCACAAAAAGGTGAACAACAACGATTACAACATTCGAACACCAAATGTATCTCAGATATGCAATGTTGTAAGCGCATTAATTATTGGGGGCGGTCGGGTAGCCGTGATATTGCTGGAATATTGCTAAAAGCGGCGTAAAACCATACTCACTCACTCGCGCATTAATTATTGACACATGTGACACACCTATTTGAACACATGCATCGAAATATGAAGTTGATTTTGTTCCTTGAATCACATTTTGCGCAGTGATAGGTATTCGTAAACACAGCAGGTCTACAACCATGGTGGTTCGTGTGCAGCAAGGATGACACTATGTTTGTCAATGATAAATATATATGTATATGTCTGAAAGTGCTCACCTTCTTTCATGGGATTCTGTAAAATAATGAAAGATAGGTTGTCATTAGCAGTGCCAGTAAAAAAAAACACTCACTACAAGTCACATCACTTGCTTATCTTAACATGTTAGATAGGTTTGCCCTGCATGCAAAATGAGCATCGTAAACTATCACTTTCATTTCATAAATATATCATACAAGGAATGAATATCAAGTATTTGGTCTACAAGAGTGTTCCGACATAGGAACCATCAGAGTGTTGGATTATTTCCATGCATGATGTCCGGAAATGTTAACACTCACTTTTCAGTCGTCCGAATGCCACAATAGCCACAGTGATGAAGACTGCAGCAATAAAAATTGTAACGGAGCTCGTGATGACGATGATTGTGTTGGTCATAGTTGTACCTGCATGTACAGAAAACGGAAGTGGATAACATTGTCATTAGCAGGATGTCTTTCATAAACATATTTGAAACTCAGCGGTCATACAGGTGGTCGTTCATAATCACAGTTAACATTGGGATTGCAGTTGAGTGTTGTGACAAATTGTCGTAAGTTGGTCATGGCTGCGACAAGCAATCAATACACATTGAGAATTGATGCAAATAATTTACAATGTTAGTCGTGTGGTACAGATATAATGACTGTTTGAATAATAAAATGTATCAAAGTTGTAGATTGCATGTCACATATGTGTATAACTGACATTTCTGTTCTAATGAGCGATACACACAAAGCCTTTCGAGCATGTGTAACGATAGGTGTGACATCATTAAACTTATTGGACATCAAATGCCACTTGACGCCAGAACAGGACCCCCATGTTCAGGCTTTGGAGACCCAAAATGTATTATGTGGAGTTCCCAGGACACGAGTATAGACAGACAAAGGTGAATCCATGAGTGAGGAAATGTATATCTGTGTATAATAATGACAAAGGTGAAATACTATATATGAATAAAGTGTGTTACAATTTGAAATTATTAAACTAGGTTATATTTGATAATTCCTTAAATCCTTAAACATACATATTGCATACTTGCAGTAGACAGGGTTAATACCGGCCCTCACTATTGGTATGCTGTTGAACAGGCATCAGGGTCAAAAGTCATTCCACAGTAAGTCCATGGTAGTCTCAAATCTTAGTATTAGTCATTGATAGATGCCAGTGTTGCAAACATGTACGTAATTGAGTTGCATCGTTAAACAAGCATAACGTACTGAAGTCATATTGGGGAAGTTCTCATATTAGGATTTCAATTTGTGCACTGACCTTGGTCAAAAAGTTGAACAAAAAGCTCCAGTGTTCCTTTCTCATTGACGACAGAGAGTTTATAGGTTCCAAGGTCCCTCGTTTGCATTCTTGAGATGGAAAACGTGAACGTATAGAAAGGTTCACCCTCGTCCCTGGATAGTTTGTGTCGGCCGCTGTCCGACATATCTATGACATTGACGCCTTTGTCCAAGTATTCCATTATATGATTTGGTTCCTGGTAACTGCAGACAAGAAATGTCCCCGAAACACTTTTACTCTCGTAGCTCATTGCAACATATTTGTCGGAGGAATCACACCTTCTTGGTTGTGCTGAAATTCACAAAGTACATGTATATTATCAAGGTAGCAAGTATCAGTTTACTGTGCAAGGTTCTCATACATACAGGTAAACCAGAAACAATCAGTGAATTAATATTACCATAATAGCTTAACTCTCTAACTACATCGTGGTTTTGATAGTTTTGAATAGATATGTTTCAATATTTTCATATTGACAGTAACGGGGCAAACAATTTTATTTTGTAAGTGATCTTGTATTTTATCTCAGCAAAATATGCCAAACAAGGTTAATAATCTGTCAAATGTAAACAAATAAAGCTCAAAAGGCAAAATAAATTGTTGAACTATAATAGAAGTTCTAATCAAACCTTCACAAATTTAACAATATAGCAGCTATCTTGAGATATTCATCAAATCGTTCACAATCAATAACGTATCATCAAGGGCATTATGATTATCTCCCATTCTACTCTAACATCTATATTTAATGCAGAAACTATATGCTTTTCCTTACATATAACATCTTTGATGGCGACAGTTTCCTTCCCTATGGTCTCACCGACTGCATTGCGAGCTACACACACATACGTCCCAGTGTGAGTACAGTTGATGTCCTTGATGACCACGTCATGTATGCTGTTGGTTTCTTTCTGCTGAACATGTATGGATGATGGTGGCGGTATACTGTGTACGTCACACTGGAAACTCACAGTTTCATGTTCATTCACAATCACATTTCTTGTTCCGTTCACCGTTATGCCCGTAATGATTGGTCGGTCTGTAATAATAATAGGCCTTGAGTTATTGATAATTAACTTGTTTGTATATATTTTGTTTATTGCCACAGTCAGCAATATTTCACCTATTCCAGTGACTGATATTATGAGCAATGCCAGGTTAAGGTGTCAAGGCCACATAATCAACAGAGCCTGAGAAACTGACTTATGCAGTTTAGTCAAGCAATACAGTGGCGGGGATCCATTTTGACACAGGTTCCCAAGAGGTACATGTAGTATGCAGAACGTCAACGGTTACATGGTTACACTTACTTTTAAAATTGCATGAATTTGGATATTCATGTTATTAATATACTAATCCTGATACAACCTATTGTAATTTCCTTCTTCACTTTGATTATAGCACAAAACGTGCCTCTTCTACGTCCGGGGCGCCCACTGTCTAGTAGTTGTAGTAGTAGTAGTAGTAGTAGTAGTAGTAGTAGTAGTAGTAGTAGTAGTAGTAGTAAAAGGCGGGCCTGAACCACTAAACGTTCTATTTCCACCCAAATCCTAATAAAATTGTAATTCAAACTTTAGTTTCGCACACGATTTCCTCATTATAAACAGTAAAGACAGAAACAAGTAATCGCAATATGCTATATAGTCATCAGTATCAAAGTAATCTGTCCTTAATTCCTCAATGCCTCCTCATCAGCAGTAGCAGGGCCCATATTTGAACATAAGTATACTAATATCGTGAAAATCCAAATTCATATTAATTATTTATTATCTCGGCACAACAAACTGTATCCCTTATCCCACATCTGTGAGTGTGCAGCTAGTGACTTTTGAAAAACATCGCCGAATTACTTCTAGATTAGATGTGAGAGCCTTCTTCGCTAATCCTGATCACCTGTCCCATCGTCACACTAAAATGCACAGTTTTACTCTGTGGCCGAGTACCTGTGCTGCTTCCAATTTGTGACGCCCGAATGATTGAAGTTCAAGTTGTAGCGAATAGCAACGAGTGTCCAAGAATCCCTTAGTATATGTATTGTAACATAACTGTAAATTGTAAGCAGGAAAGTACTGTGAAAGCCGTGAGTGATACATACTCGCAATAGTTACATGACGCAGTTAATTTCTCAGACCAACAAGAAACAGGAATATTTCTTTTATAAGTTCCACACATTGTCAAACCAGCAAGTGCACGATTAAATTGATAATCCCTCACATCATGTTTCCTTAATTACACATTGTCACTTAGTGTCATTAGTCTATTCAGGGAAGTTCACTTTAACCTGCCACATCTCGTCATGTTGTTTTCGTAACACAGAGTCAAGACACACGTCAGCCGGCCTATGTTGTCAGATAAACACACTACTCCAACCTTCCTTTTCAACTACAACAGCACATTTCATCACAACACTTCCAACTTCCTAAAATTAACAAACATGCAAAAGAAGTTTTTTAACTCATCATCAACAGAGTGTCGCAAAACGTTCCAGACGCATGTAAGGCTACTATTAGCCACTTTCAATAAATTAATGGCGCAAAACTGTCCAGATTTAAAGTATGTGACACAAATGAAATATATGCGAAACCCTCTCAGTATCCATGTACTGACGCACAGAGGATTGTATTCAAGTTGTAGCAAATACCAACATGAGTCCAACAATCAGAATAGTTATCGTGACAGTATGTTACGCAAGGGATATTTATGGCAAACACTTACCAGGGGCTTCTTATGACAATCTGAATGCTCAATGCGAAAGCATTGGCGAATCTTGTGCTCGCAAGCTCAATTTGTATCAGGATTGTTGAGACACCATCACTTGTCCAAAGACACATAGCCTAAGACTAAGTGACTCTGCAGCTCTTGATACATGACATGGAAAAGTCATCTACTTCCTCCACAGATATATCTCTGAGATAGTAGCTAGCGAAAGTTATGTCCATTTGCCCAAAACATCAATTGATGACATCACCCACTGAATAGTGGCTTGAAGTTCCATCGTTGATGTATCAGTATGATCAGCCTATTTTGTCAAGTTTTGGCAGGCACTGTGTCTGATTTCACGTTGTTCTTTCCAACACCTTATAATGCTCTGCAGTTGTATACTCTTCTATCTTATGTCTGCTTTTATGGTAAAAAATATCAAGAAATCGTCACGAGGTCACCACCTGTGGACTGCCATTTTTTTCTTTAGCCCTTTCCCTTTTAGCTAACATGGTGATAACCTTTTTTCTGTCGGGAATTAATTTGTATTTAAATTAATGATAAAGATGGAAGTGATTGGCTGACGTGTATATAGCGAAGATTTAAATGCAGGCAGTGAAACCGGACGAGAAGAAGATTTATTATCAGAATGTTCAAACGAGAAAACCGCGTTTTCCCCTGCCATTAGAAGTATGTTTGTTCATATAGTAATGAACATAAACTATAACAAAAGAGTACCATAAGACCTTAAGAAGAGTGAGTGAGTGAGTGTGGTTTTACGCTGCTTTTAACAGTAATCAAGTTATATCACGGCGTGTCAGCTTAATATGGGAGGAAAGCCCGAAGTGATGCAAGTCTCAGACGTTTACCACTTCGGTGAAACCCACGAGCACGGGTATGGTGCTGACAAACCTAGAAACATAATAGGGGCGAACCGGATTCGAACCCACAATCATAGGTTTCTGGCGTGCCCTAGGGACGCAACTCTGCACAGCGAATCGCGGCGCCTTAGACGACTGAGCCACCCTTGCCCTCTCCTTAAGAAGAGATAGGGACATTTGACATGATGTATCAGATCAGTCTTCGTTGTATTCCGCAGCCAAAACATCAACATTCTTTTTTTTTTGTAAATTTTGCAACCAAATTTTGATACTTCTGCACACAATTCTTCAAACTTATAACCTATCGATGTCTGGAAGAACTTATTGAAGTGAATCTGGTGATCGCTAGTGTAAACAAAATGATTATGCACATCCGGTAAGCAATAATGCTCACATCAACTTCATTTCAAAACGAAATCAGGATATTGACTTCATTTAACCATTTCTCAGAACATAAAATGTTTAAAAGATCGTCTGTAAGTTCTTTTTTGTTCATATATCTCAAGCGCCTTAAATGAATATTTGGAAGGATATATCTAAAGCAACGCATAATTAACTTAATGATAGTTCATTTCAGTGAATCTATGCAAATTTACACGTTTAAAGCCAACTTTCGATTTGCATGTTAAAATTCTGAAGAAAGTTTGACGTATTCTGCCGCAAAAAAATGAAACATTCCACCAAAATATCATCCTGTTACAAAAGCAATATCTTTTCACTCTGCTTTGTGGATGACAAGTCAGAAATGATAGCAAGAAGTACGGTACTTACGTGAGACAACTAGGAAGTGTGTACAGCCTGGTATTATGTCATCATCGCTGATTTTCGTGCAGGAGTACGAGCCAGCATCAGCTGTTGTAACATTATCGAACTGAAGCCACAAGACAACATCATCAGTTGAGGTGATGACAACGATTGTCATCCTGGAGATGTAGTTAAGGTCAAGGCTGACTTTAGTAGACTCCATTGAAATCAGACCGATGGGGGACCTAACCTTGAATTTATGACTAAGGTTGGGTATCTTCCAGACAACCGTGACCTTGATGCCGTCGTTGGTGACTGTGTAGTTTGTGTCATCTTCCGCCAGGGCTGCAAAATGTGCATATGTACAAATACTATGAATATGGTGTTTCCCGATAAATTAAACAGTACGACCTGCTCATTTAGAATAGGCAATTAATTCATTGAAACACAAATACTTTCGTAAAAGAAATATCTTATCGTTTGTAGATATTGTTTCTTTTTGTTTTCCGGGTTAAGCCCACTGGCTATTTTAGAATGTTATATCATCATGAAGTGATATGTCTTAATTAGCATACTTATAGTGTCACATCACACATGTTCAAGCTTGTTGTTTCAGTGCCATTCGTCAATATATTTGCTTTACTTAAACACAACCGTTCAATCCATTTAACCGTTCCAGGTAGACTAAAGCCAGGTGCCTACATGCAGCTCACTCATTGTAAAGCAGTAAACATGATGGATAACCGTTCTAATGTAAGTATAGTAGCTGTAAGTAAATCTCCATTAACATGAATGATAAGCATGCTCTATGATCAACAGTTACTAGTTTCACTACACTCACTATTCACACCAACTATATATTCTTGACTCCAGTCCGTTTTGAAGCCCTGTTTCTCTACGATTTGACAAGAGTATCTATCTCCGGTATCTGTCTTCTCAACTCCTGTGATGTCAAGAGTACTGGACCAGAACCCGTCCCAGTGTCTCTGTTCTGGGGCTGACACTGCATACATTCCTCCAGTCTTTACCTTTGTCTGGTTCCTCCTCCAGCTTACAGACAAGGCTGGGGTGATGCTCTCGGATCCCTTGCAGTAGGTGTAGCATGTAAATGTAGCACGTCCACTTTCCGAAAAATTGTTGGGAGCAAGTATGTATGTGCCCTCTATAAAATCGATAAGAACGAATTTTACAAACATTCTTTAAGTTAACAGTTAACATATTCTGCCAACAACCAGAAATTGTGCTTTTAAGCACTTGCTAAAACAGAAGCACCTGGATCCTCCCTAGAAATCATTACATACAACAATGCATTTCCAGTGACATACCACTATCTAGCATTACATGAAACACTGACCTTGACTTGAACTGTTTGACTTTTTCTCTTTCTGTTTAAATGCTCCATGAAATTGTAATATGGTAAAAGGCAGTGAGATTGCAACTGAGATTGGCATATATTCCGGTATTTGTTTTGCTACTTCATGTCCAAGGAAACAAACATATTTTCGCAATTAATTTTTATCGGATCTCTCAAACAGAAGAGACTCAGAACGTACATTTTACCACCAACGCAAAAATACAGTCTTTTAACAACTGATGCGCGAATACAGTCTCGAAACATTTGTTTTGACAGTTCCAGGTGAAATCGCCCACCTAAAATAATTGCGATTGCTCTCCATTCTTCGTGCATCACCGAAAATATGGGCATGCAACTTATATTTACGTCCAAATTTTCTGTGATAGAAAGGAGACAACAAACACTTTAAAAGAATGACTACCGAGTTGACAGCTAGCAATATAATTTCCGAAAAGCTTGAAGACAATTCCAAAGTACGTGTTCATATAATTATGACGTCACAGCTGGCTGAGAATGTTCACCCAAACAGACACCCGAATACGCCAGTTCACGTTTTGCAGACATTCAACTGCAGATATATTCGTGTGTACGACAGCCTCACGCCAAGGGTACTGGGGAAACATGGGGTAAGATGCATTTTCAATGCCTGTTCAGTCACAGCGACTATACGCACAGAAAAGTAAGTACCAACCCTATTTCTAAAGCTATTATCGATATGTACACTACTAAATCATCAGCAATATGAATCACTTATCATTGTTAACGTCATGCCATCAAGTGCATAAAGTACTGTTTTTGTGTCAATAAAAGCGACAAAACCCTTTCCATATTCCCAAGAAATATCTGCTAAAAGCGAAGTCGATTGTACGATTCTGACTTCATCATTATTATGAATTATGAATTGTTTATGAATTAGTATCAAATAGTGATGAAAAAGTAAGCGTATCCTGCCAAAAGGGAAAGTTTATCAATTACTTCAGTTATCACTGTGTCAGTGTGTCACTGAAGGTTTACACACACAGGGTACGCGAGGACAGGCGTTCAAAATGGTTTCAGCTAGCTCTGGTCAAGATGCGTCAAAACAGACTTATCGTTGAAGGCGCTGCCTGTGAAAACGATCAGGACAGGAATGATATATCGTAAACACTCAAAATTCCCTAGATCGGAACCCAAAGGTCAGGGCCCACAGGTCAGACTCTGCCAAGAAGCCAGTGTCAACAAACACAGATGCAACGTTAGTGACACATGAGGCAACAAGACAGCAGTGGAGGGCGATCCAAAGTTCCCGAACACTGGCGACTGATGGGAAGGCAGTGGCTCGGAAAATGGTGATCCCAAGAAACTATCAATACTGTCGTGGAACATTGAAGGTTTGAATAGACATAATAATCCCCATTGAAGTATAAAGCGTTTTCTTGCAAACTTTTACATACTCCGATTTTGTGAATCATTTGCAGCTGGGGTAAAAATATCAGTTTTCCTTCATTCCTTCAGCTGGCTATAAACATGATAGAAACAATAACATGGGTACATCACTTAGGGATACATTGTGCAAAATATTCACTTCTGTGAATGGCTTCAAAAATGGTGCAAAATTTACAATATAATAAGTGAGACCTAAGATGGCTTTTTAGCAAACTATTCATCAACAGATGAAATGCTGACATTTCAAGCTGTCATTCATAAATACTCATGTGAGAAAAAGGGAACATTTTACTGCCACTTCATAGATTTGCCCCAAGCGAGTGACGAACTGAGACACAATGTTCTAAACAAAACAAAGGTGGTCTTTCAGTTTGTTGTAACTGTAATATCGGTACCTGACAGCTGTCAAACGATTCACTGTAAAGAGGGATGGTGTGGTCCGACTGACCAACACCTACCTCTTCACTTTCGCCCGAACAACTATCCCTCCATCGATCAAAGCTGGTTCTTGTAACATCGGAGTGGAGGTGTATATCCCCGATCCACTCCGGTGCTACACCTGCCAAGCGTTTGGACATGGATCCAAGTCCTGCCATGCCTCTGCTGTTTGTTACCGCTGTGGTGACAAACACGAGGCTACTGACTTCAGGAAGGATGTGAAGTGTGCAAACTGTGGTGGGAACCATATGGCTTCCGCAAAATCCTGTCCTGTGGGGAAACGCAAGTCCCATAATTATTAAAGTCAAAAGAACAAAATGTTTCGAAGCTAAGAAGAGGGTTGTTGGTCTTCCCACAACCACTTCCTCTCTCTCTTACACTGCTACTGTATCTCATACTCCTGTCACTACTGTACTGATCTGACATGGGTAAAATCTGTCCAGCCACTTCCTACTGTTTCACTCGTTAAACCAGCTGTGACATCTTCGTCTGTGACTCCTCCAAAACAGAAGAAAACTGTAAAAAAATGTCCTAAACCAAAATCAGAATCAGAACAAGAACAAGAACCAGTTAAACTGTTAAACGGGGAACAGAAATTATTGAAAAAGAAGCAGCTGAGAGAAAAGCTGCAAACACAAAAGGCCACCTCTCCTTTAGAGGTCCCAGTAGAGGTCCATAACTCCTTTGGTCCTCTGGACACGGAGGTAACTCCATATCCACACTAAACTGATACCACGAAGTCTTCCTCACGTTCCCCTAACATTTCACCTGTGAAAGCACAACCATTAATCCACAAAACATAATACAACGGAATTGTAGAGGTCTTAAGAAGAATTTTAATGAAATACAACTTTTAAAGATTTTAAACCATCAGCTTTTTGTCTCCATGAAACATATCTAAAACACACAGATCTATTTGATATCCGTCAGTACAGTTCTTACAACTCTTTTTCCCATCCTGGTGATAAAGCCACAGGAGGTTCTTCTATCCTGGTGAAGCAGGGCATAATCCTTAGCCCTAAACCATGGTTTGAACATTATTGTAAACAAGCTTGAAAAAATAGGAAGAAAGATGAGAAATATTTCCGCCCACATCCAACTGTCCACAACTTGAATAACGTTAAAATCACGGGCGCCAAAGCGAGACGTACCTTTAAGCAGAATAAACGTCAATCCTGGAGGAACTTTGTATCCAAAATCAATTCCCGCACACCAATGTCCAAGGTGTGGAATATAGTTGAAGATTAAGGGCAAAGGATCCAAATCTGGAGTTCACCATCTCAAAGATGGTAATACTTTTTTAACTACTAAATCCGAAATTGCCATCAAACTTGGTGACACTTTAGCAAAACATTCCTCATAATCTAACTATAATCCTCAATTTGAGAGGTTTCAAAACTGCAGGAAAAGAAAAAAGTCAATTTTAACTCTGATAATGGTGAGGACTATTTGATGAAATATGGACAACCGGAAATTTTCCTCCTTTGTGGCACAATGCTATTATTATTCCTATTCCAAAGCCTGGACGGGATCATACGGATCCATCCAATTACCGTCCAATATAATTAACTAGCTGTGTTTGTAAAACCATGGGGCGATCGATTAGTCTGGTACCTGGAGACCAATAACTTCCTGAGTGACATCCAGTGAGGTTTCCGAAAAAAGAAATGTACCATTGACCATTTGGTGCGTTTAGAATCGTTCATTAAAAATTCCATTGTCAACAAACAACATACTGTATCAATCTTTTTCGATCTAGAGAAGGCATATGATTCAACGTGGAAACATGGTAATTTAAAAGATTTGCATGAATTTGGATTGAGGGGCAGATTACTTCAGTTCATATCTCAATTTTCATACAACAGTCAATTTCAAGTACGAGTGGGATCTACCCTGTCTGATAATTTCGATCAAGATCAGGGTGTCCCTCAAGGCAGCATACTATCAATCACGCTTTTCAGCATCAAAGTTAATAGTCTCACTAAAGTATTAAACAATAGCATTGATGGTTCACTTTTTGTGGACGATTTCAACATTTCTTCTTGTGGTAAAAATATGAATACAATAGACAGCTACAGCTCTAAAATTCTGAAATGGGCGAACGAGAAAGGTTTCACATTTACTAAATCCAAAACAAACTGTATTCACTTTTGTCGTAAATACAAACCTCACAAGCATCCAGATTCAGTTGTATATGGTAATCCTATCAAGGTAGTAGAGGAGGTCAAATTCCTGGGCCTCATATTTGACCATCATCTCACATTCTTACCACACATCAAATATCTAAAGGCAAAGTGCCTGAAAGCTCTAGATTTGTTAAAAGTCGTTTCAAGTTCCGAGTGGGGAAGGGATCAGACCACCCTCTTCCACTTGTACAGATCGTTAATACATTAATACGCTCTAAACTAGACTATGGTTCCATTGTCTATGGTGGAGCCTGCAAAAGCAATTACGAGGCTATGGAGGCTGATGAACCTTCAATGGAACAGCGCTGCATTAAACTTTCACTGCAATACATTGCTTAATTGCATTCCAATAAATCAAATCCAACATACAAGTGCGTTTCCTACCCTCAATATGAAAACTTGTTTTAAAATTTGTCCAACTTGATTCCTCCCTTTAGAATCTGATTTCAATCTCACATCACTGCAGCTAAAATAGATCTAAATATAATATCACCTTACCGTCTTCTCCTCCCTGGCAGATGGTGAAGCCAGAGGTAAACCTCACTCAAGCCCAACTAAACAAATCCGAAACATATCCTTTGGTTTATCAACAAGCTTACAACCAATTGTGAACTCAATATAATTCTAACAGGTCGATTTTTACAGACGGGTTCAAGGATGGTGGCAAAGTTGCTAGTGCCATCGTCATTGGATCCAGAACAGTCTCCTCAAGAATCCCAGATTCTATTTCTATCTTTACTGCTGAGGCCAAAGCTATCC